ACTTAGATGTACCATTCTGCGCCATCAGGGAGCTTTTCAGTTGTCTGTGGAATCTTTCCACTAGACCATTCGCTGCCGGATGATAGGCTGTTGTGGAGATATGTTTCACTCCCAGAAGTCTCATCAGTTCACGAAAGAGTGTCGATTGGAATTGAGGACCGCGGTCGGATGTAATAGTAGTTGGTACACCGTAGTTTGACACCCAACGGTCGAGAAAAACTAAAGCAACGTTTTCAGCAGATATGTCGTTTAAGGGGCATGCAATAGCCCAACGAGTAAATCTATCAATCGCTGTCAGGATATGTGTATATCCTCTTGATGTTGGTAATGGTCCCACAATATCTATATGGATATGCTGAAATCTCCTTTCCGGTGCTTCAAACGTCTTAGGGGTTGTAATAGTGTGGCGGTGTACTTTGGAGCATTGGCATTGGAGACATTCCCGTGCCCAACTCCGTATGTCAGAGTTCATTTTAGGCCACACAAAGCCTTAGCTGATCAGTCTGACCGTGGCGCGTACTCCAGGGTGAGAAACCGAATGTAAATGTTCGAACAATGCTTTTAGGCAACTGAGAGGGACACATGGACGATTGGTGCCGGTAGATACATCGCAAACTATGGTTGCATCTGATAAGGGGATAGGCACATCTTTGAGCTGTAAGGAAGAGTTTCTGCGGTAGGTTTGGAGTTCAACGTCATCTCTTTGTAATTGAGTCATGCGGTCAAGACTGACGTCTATCGAAGTTTGAAGCTGGTTTATGTCACTTCTTGAAAGAGAATCAACTACCACGTCCCCATCCCCTTTGATGTACTGAATGTCAGTTGAAAATCGGGAGATATAATCCAACTGTCTGGCTTCTCTAGGGGAGTGTTTATCGAGTGAAGTAGTGAAAGCATGACACAGGGGCTTGTGGTCAGTAAAAACAGTGAAATGCCGGCCCTGTAGTAAGTAACTTAAATACTTGACTGCAAGATATATAGCCAACAATTCTCTCCCAAATGTGCTGTAACGTGCCTGAGAAGTTTGTCCAGTCGCTGAACCTATAGTGGACCCAATCTGTCATATAACTCGATACACAAGCTCGCTTTTCAGTTTTGTTTTTTAAATATTATTTTCTCCCAATTTACCTATTATTTAAATTTCTATCCGGTTATGATTTCAATATTACACAACTGCTATATCAAATTTACAATTCTAATAACTTATCTTTAGGAATACATCCTTTGTTGCCTGGAATTTTTACTAAATATTTTCGCGGTTGTGAAGCTTGAGAATAAAATCATCCAAAAGAATCACTCTTAGGTGATCGTTCTTTTCTCTCAAATACCATGATAAACTTGGATCAAGCATAGCATTATGATGTTACACACGTCAATTTCTAAATTTATATCCCAGTTAGAAAAGTGCGTTCTTCTCTCCAGTGAACTTTCCGACACACGATGTTGCCCTTTTAATATGTTGTTTATTTTGCATTTCATTCAAATATGTTCGCAAGTGTTCCCAAACCCGGGATTTTTTCTCGTTTACGCCAGTGCCACTACTTTAAGACAGCATTTGATGTTTATTTTCTAAGACACACCCTTACTCTCCCCACGGAGTAGCATCCGCCATGTTTCGGTACAGATATGCATGTATGTACGCTGGCCACCATAGTAGGATTCAGAAGTCATGTTATTTGCCTCTAGTGTAGATTGACCTCATTCGAGGATGTTCGCAACATGTTCGCTAAGCTAGGATGCTTACCACTGAAGCTATGGGGAATGCCCAAGGGAATTCCACCGTAGCAAGTTCCTCGCTGTTTGATCTTTACAACCGAAGGTCATCTGCAGGCCCTGGGCAACCGATATTGCATCATGCGACCGATTGGAATGCTATGTAACCGTATACGAATATATATATATATATGTAACAACGTATCATCATTCTTGTGAGATCTATGGTTAACTACCAATTACTAGAGGTGCCAATGTGTCCAGGTCTAACAATCGACTTAACGCCGTCCTTAGAAGACCTTCAGCAACAATGTGCAATAACCAACGCGATGAAACAGAACACAGATTGGCGACTCGAGAATCCTTCATTCTTGCACCAATGTGGAACCAACCATAGGGTTATTGTATACAAAGTCTAAGAAAAAATGTCATAACAATTAATCACGATAATATTTCTGATAGTATTTCTCCGTCTTCTAACAAACAGCGTACGATGGAGCGATGACTGCAGTATTGGTGACTCCTGCCAAAATATGGAGTTGGTTTTGAGCAAACAACTGTGACAAGAGGATTCCTCTGGGCACCATGTTTCTGAGTTGGCTTTGTTGTGAATCAAATTCTTTTCCGCAAACGCATCTTGCTCCCAGCAGAACACAGTAAAATATTTCGTAAGAACAAATAAGTTGACATGAAATGCATGCCAGATCTATAGGTACTATCTAATATACCCTAATTATTAAGGAGGAGGGATCAGAATCGCTTCGATTGAAAGACGTATTTGTGTGGAGGAAACCGACGAATTGCAGGAACGATTGGTCTCAGGACAGAACAGCCACAAGTTTCCTGTCACCAACGTTCGAAATCGGTCACCATTACATAGGTTCGACCACGACTCACGTTAATTTGTGGAACAATTTGTTGAGGTTTATGTAACTAACCACTCGTAAGAATCGGTGATATATGGCTTCTTAGAGTTTACAATCATCTCTCAAACCGAAAATCACTACTGGTGTTATCGTGTGGCAACACTACTGCTCACTACTAATCCTTCACAACATGGACGTTTTCTTTCTTACAGTTATCTAATGCCTTCCAGTTATTTTACATTTATACTCTAATACACATGCACTCAAACTGTACTCCATCACTGTTGGGCAATATGAGTAACTGGGAATCACTGCCTATCATAAAGTCGCTCTTTCCGTTTACTGATAAAGATCATGTTGCACCTATTGTTTCCTCGATTGTTATTTACAAATCAAGTTGACCAAACTCCATGATTCGAATGTCTTTGATTTGGGGAGAAAACCATGGTAAAGTCTCACCTAGTACTCTATACCTTGCGGACTGCGAGTTTATTCACACACTTATTATTTAGGTCTACTTGAGGCCAAATTCATCGGAAGAGCCTTAGTCATTATTAGAAATCAGAAATCCAAACATCTCATAGGAAATATATATTATTATATTAATTTATCATGCATACTATTCGAATCAATTTGCAGGCCATGATTTAGGTTTTTCTACAGCATTCGAGTTGTACGGATCCAGAATTTTATCTAGGATCAGAAGTCTATGTTAATTTTTTTCCAATGAATACTTCTGCGTTCCTATTCTCTTCTTAAATGAGGTGAATGACAGCTCAGATGCCTCTTCTTTCGGTTCTAAATGTTAATAGTCCGGTGAAAGAAACTTTATTCCACTGGCAGTGGTTTTTCCTCGACCTCTAAAATCTTCCGCTATGTCTAAGGAAATATTTTGACCAAGTAGAAAATGGAAAGGAGAATGGACATCAGACCCATAATCGTTTTTTGTAGTTTTGAACATAGTAACTAGACCTCCTCTCTGCTTGAAGCATGAAAAGCGATTTAAAGTGTGAAGTCGTTTTTCTCACGGTAGATGCGTTATTTTAGCAAACATGATGAGGCCTTCAACTGAAGTATTCCAGAAGTATGTTGCTCCAGCCGAAGGTAAGGGTTAGCTGTCCGGATGCAGTTTTTTAGTTTCGGTCTCATCAGAGATAGCATACAAACTGGGGAAATTTCACTGGTGATTCTATCAAGGACTCTGAGTTCTGCCAGTGAGGATAAACAGCGGTGAGTTGCCACTGAGAGTGTGTCATGATATAAGGTAACATATAGATCTTTATTTGTTGCGCCTAGATGGACTAGTATTCCATGTGATGACCACTTCTTTACGTTGATGAGGAGCCCCGATACTTTTAACTACTAATGAGACAACTGGCGAAAGAATATCTCAGTTATCACTGAAGTCCTTTGAGATTTTGAGGTTATCTTAATAGAGAACCATGAAGGCATTGTTCGTCTGGGTGATTCATTCATGTACAAGATAAATAAGATAGGGAGAGTGTAGTGTCCTGTGGCACACCATTGGGTAAGATTGCCCGGGAAGACAGTTTGGAGTTGATCCTAAATCTCTGCCTCCTACTTGCAGTAATTCCTTGACTCCCTCAGTTGTCAAACTTCTTGTTTGCATGAGTAATCTTGTGTGGGAAACATGGTTAAAAGCTTTGCTGGAACCTATGGAAACAATTCTGACAGGTCTCTTTATTTGTAGGCTTGCCTCAGGTTTTCGGTGCTGCAGTAAAATTTGCCTGACAAAAGAGGCTTTCGACAGAGGGCCTCATGTTTTTCTGAATAGCTAATTGGTGTGTCCCGAATACGCCATTACAAAATTACAATTGAAGTTTTTTTTGATTTACAGCTTGATTCCACACTGTATTTTTGGTACAAGTATGGAATTTTCAGCACGGATATCGGTAGCCCAAATTTTGCAGGCCGACCATAGATATCAGGTGTGCGCCGGCGTGGGCTCGAACCCCGGACCATGTGCATGGTCGGCGAGAGTCCTAACCACTGTGCTATCTGTCAAGATAAGGGCTAGACCTCCCCTCCCGACTTATGGATAGAGGTTACTATCGTAAAAGTTTCACAAGCACGGCTACAACTGGTATGAGAAGGACACAATGAAGTTAGTAGTGAATATGTAGGCTCTGTTAGCTATCAGTCCCTCTTGAAGGCTTTAGGTGAAGATAAAAAGACAAGTCTCAAGTTCAAGGAGTGAAATCCATAGGCTTTTAAACTTTTAATGCCTGCATAGCTAGTTTTAAACGCTGGTGATGCCATTTGGCTTTAGTAGTATACCAAAATTATCAATAAGGTTCATTGGACCTATGTAATTTCGTTGTACGTTGAGCCGCGTTATGTGCGAGCACGCGATTTAAGTTGGCCGGGTTAGCAGGATTTCATGTGCTATTGTGTTAGACGATGAGTAAACAGTCATCAACGTATACCCTCCCCCCAAAAGAGCTTTCGATTTTTAAAAGGGTTGTTGTAAGTTCTGTCACTATTTTGTATGCATTGGGTTAGAAATATTATGATCAAAAACAGTATAAGAATGGGTTAAAGTATGCCAAACAGATACTGAGCAACCCAAAGTTCAGTGAACATGGAGGTAATCGCAATTTGACAAAGACACTATCTGTCACCAATTTTTCCAGAAACCTTGGCTATGAAGGGTATTTTGTTAAATTGTCTTGGGAAAAAGGATGAAGCAAGAGAATATGTAAAGCGTGGTCTGAAGGCTAATATAACAAGTTTTGTTTGTAAGTTTCTTCTGTTAAGATCATCCCATTAGGCTGGCATATCTATGGACTGATTCACAAATCCGACCACAAGTACGAAGAGGCGATAAAATGTTATCTCCAAGCCCTAAGGCTGGATAACGACAATTTACAAGTACTCAGAGATCTATCAGTTCTGCAGATGCAATTAAGGGACTATGAAGGCTGCAAGGTAGGCTTAACCTTATACTCACTTGCTAGGATATCCGTTACAAATTATTATTGTTGCGGCCTAGTCAAAAGGCCTCTTGGATAGGATATGCCTTAATTCATCACTTACTGGGAAACTACGAAACCGCACTTACAATTATTAACGAATTCAGGAAAGGTCAGAGCGAGATACCACCTTTCGATTATGAACACAGTGAATTGCTGCTTTATCAAGCTATGGTAATGCTGGAAGCTGGAAAGGAAGAGGCCGCCTTAGAACATCTAGAAAGCAGCAGCAATCAGATAGTTGACAAGATATCATTGTTGGAGATGAAAAGTAGGTCAACAAATGCTCTAACAATACTTTTTAGCCGAAATTTTACTGAAACTCGGTCGATTTCAAGAGGCGGCTGATTGTTCGTGGGAACTGATCGGTCGGAATCAAGAAAGTCAAACTTATTGCGAACTTTTATCTCGTGCCAATACTGCATTAGCCACTGGCAACACAAAGGAAAACTCCGAATTGACCAAAAAAACCTATGAAGCTATCATTTCCCGTTATCCACAGTCCCGTCTATCCAGGCGGTTAATTTTAAATTATTGTTCAGGTATGTCTTTCTGTATCGATATATTTCGTTTTTAGGAGATGAGTTTCTTCAAAGACTGGATTCTTACCTGAAGCCGTACATAAGAAAGGGCGTTCCTCCACTATTTATTCAACTCGTGGGGCTTTTATATGACTCTGAAAAGTTAGCAATGTTTGAGAGTCTTTTGGATAAGTATCGAAAAAACATGCATCTTACTGGCTCTCTGGACTTCGAAGAAGAATGTGGCTTCAAGGATGCTCCTACTACAGAAATTTGGCTCACTTACTTGTTAGCCCAGTATTACAATTTCAACAGAAAATATCAGGTATGAAGTAACTCAATATTTGCCTTATTTCTAGGAAGCTATTGACCTCATTGATGCTCAGTTATTATCAACGCCTACTCTGGTCGACTTTTATGTCCTAAAAGCTGATGTCTTTCATGATGCAGGAGACTACATAACAGCCAGTCGATGGATGGAAGAGGCTCAGTCGCTTGATACAGCTGATCGTTTTATTAATGCTCGCTGTACAAAATTCATGGTTGAAGCTCATCGCCTAGAAGATGCTACTAATATGGCATCTAAATTTACAAGGGTAATGTGTTTCTAATACTTTAACTTGGTATTTAGGGTAACACATCGGCGAAGGAATATTTATCTGAGATGCAGTGTATGTGGTTTTTACTTGACAATGCGAAGGCGCTCAAAGAAATGGGTAAACTTGGTGAGGCTCTTAAATTGTGTCACGAGGTGCAACAGGTGGGTTTTGATTAGATTGTAGTTCATGCATATATGTATGGTTAAGTGTAAATTTAGATGTGAAGCTTATCGTATTGACATTAACTATTGTGAATGCATAGGTTCTTTAATTTGTTTCTGACAAGTTATCAAAGAAATCACATTTCATATTTTACAGGAAGCGAGCATTTACACTTCGTTGATTGACTTTATATCAAAGTAGGTCTATGCTGACTTCAAATTTATTTGTAAGATAAGTAGAAATACTAATTTGACATATCCCGAAGAAATCTGGCATCGCAACAATTATTGTAGAGACAGTGGTGCAGGAGGTTAATAACCGGCAAAGACTTGTTGGATGCCACTGGGTTTCTACAATTCCCTCCGAGGGGATTGTTGTAAAAGCACTGATGTTGAAAGTTACTGGACGTGATGAAGGGCGAAAACTATTTAAAATGATCTAGGCAAACACCCGTCAGCGGTGAAAAGTAACATCCACCAACCACATAAGCTGACTAAACGACTTCAATGGCTTATTGGTGGACACATCCGAGACACGTTACTCCTGTCGAATCACCGATATCCCCAATGAGTTATGTTGGCTGAAGTCATTATATGGGGGGAGTGACCAGATGTAAACAAGCCACCAATCCACTAAGCCTTTTACTGTTGGTACGTAAAAAATGATGGACTACTTTTCTGAGACCTTTGGAATGCTAAGACTGAATGATCTGAGACAACTCACTTTTCTACCATTCAAATAATGGAAATCCTCTTCAATCTTCATCTGATTGTTCTCTTTCTTCATCAATCTGCTTTCGTTATGGTTTCATTGTATTTATTTTCTCTACTTGTGAGCTTTATCAGACTTAAAATTACCATTTTATGAGCAATATTGTATGCTGGTAAGTAAGTGAGTCTCATTATTTCGTGAAGTGAATAGGTTTCCAGACCAAAGACTACATCTATGTTAACTATATTGTTCTCATATCCTCTGAGAAATCTTGCATCCTGCCATATATAAGACAAAACAATGGCGATGCATGTTGAAGGTTGGTTGTTGTTTTACAAATGGGGATGTGTGGTTGTTGTACTGTCTTTCTCATGGTAGTCTTGTGTTTTTAATAACATACTCATTGGAAGAGTTTGTCAAAAAGACTTGCAAGAGGCCACACATGAACATTTATTGCGCAACTAAGTAATGATGTAAACCACTGGGTAAAAAGCTGTAATAGTAAGTTTCGACAAACTTTCATGAGATTCATAATACTTTACATTTTATTAACTTTTCAAATTCACATGTACTTCTCGCTTGCTTCATGAATTTCTGTTATTTAATGGTTTTCGTTACCTACTATGTCTTATTTAAAAACAATTATTTCACTCAATCCAGTTGCACAAATTTGTTTACGAAAATATGGTCTTACGCTTCTTACTATTATAGCATTATAGAAATATTCTCGATGATCAACTGGACTTCCACTCCTACTGCTTGCGAAAGGTCACTCTTCGAGCTTATGTTGAAACATTACGCTTGGAAGATCGCTTACGAGATCACCAATCTTATTTTGATACTACCCAACTTGCAGTCGAAGTGAGTTGCGGTATTTTTATTGCTACTTTGAAGTCCGTTAGTTGAATTGCTAGTTAGATCAATAACAGTTTTTACTTTGTCCTATGAATTGTCTAATAATGTACTTGTAACTCAGGATTGACATAACACTAGTTTCAGCTTGTTTAGTAAATTTGACTGTGTTTTATTTGCTTTGGATATCTGCAACAACTCACCAGTTTTTTTCTGGTATACTTCTATTTTCTGCTACTGAATTACTACTATATAAAGTTGCAAGGTGCCCGAATATAAATTGTGGCTCATTTGCGGATATCTTAAGTGTTATAAATACCTACTTTAGTTATGGCTTATGAGGCTAGATACCAAGTTCTTAGTCATTGATTTGTAGGTTCCCAAATTCACTCCGCAATTTTGAATGGATTTTCACACGGATTTCGATTTGGAATTGTGTGATATTGATATTCGGGGGTGACATACTAGTTTGTAGATTAACTGAGGTACTAACCAACGTCTGGGAATCAGAGACAGTGCCATCAGACTGGGGTAAGTCACTTATTATACCGATATTCAAGAAGGAAAACAAGTCCTCGTGTGATAATCATAGGGGGATCAGCCTAACGAACATAGTCTCTAAAATCCTAGACTCAGTAATCATGCATAGTCTAAGCAGAACTCGGGAGGAACAGACAAGGGAAAATCAAGCAGACTTTAGACCAGGTAGAGGGTGCATAGATCATATCTTCACTCTTCGACAGATTCTAGAACATAGACACACTTTTCGGCGTCCAACAATTGTCATATTTCTTGACTTGAAGGCGGCCTTCGACTCCGTGGATCGAAAGGTACTATGGCAATGTCTGACTGTGAAGGGATTGCCAAGAAAGTACATCGCACTAATCAAGGCACTCTATTCAAACTCACGTAGTCATGTAAGGGCTTATGGGGAATTGTCATCTGAATTGGTAACAACCAGTGGTGTCCGACAGGGATATCCACTTAACCCATTTCTGTTTAACTTCATCATAGATATGCTGATGGGAGTATCCTTAACTGAACGTAATGACTTAGGAATCGACTTGTTACCAGGGAATAGTCTTATGGACTTAGAATATGCAGATGACATAGTCCTGTTAGGGGAGGATGGTGACAAAATGCAGAGTCTTCTGAACACCTTGAGCAGCAATCTTCGTATGTTTGGTATGCGATTCGCCCCTGAAAAATGTAAGATGCTGCTACAGGACTGGACGACGTCAACCCCTAACTTAGTGATAGGGAGTGAAGTGATAGAACATGTTGACCACTTCACTTATTTGGGAAGTTGTATCAGCACCAACGGACTGATTGGCGACGAAATCTCAGCATGGATCCAAAAGGCTCGAGCTGCTTTCGCTGACTTACACCATCTCTGGCGTAGGCGTGACATCCGGCTATCAACCAAGGGACGTGTGTACTGCTCAGCAGTTCGCTCCGTCCTTGTCTATGGCTCTGAAACATGGCCAATACGAGTTGAAGACATGAAAAGGTTGACTGCTTTCGATCATAGATGTCTGCGATCTCTGTCTCACGTTAGGTGGTTTAACAAGGTAAGTAATGTTGACGTTAGGCGTAGAGTGTTGGGCAAAGAGGGAAAATCAATCGACGAGGCTATAAAGTTACATAGATTGAGATGGCTAGGTCACGTGCTGCGCATGCCTAACCATCGCCTCCCCCGACGGGCATTGCTAGCTGATATAGGTGCAGGTTGGAAAAGAACCAGTGGTGGCCAAACAAAAACATGGCCTCATCAATCCATGAAATCCTTGACAGTTAAACTGAGTCAGGTAGGGAGATGCAGACTCCCGGGTTGGGGCCCTCGGGACTCTAGGAATCAATGGCTGGAGACAATAGGTGACATGGCTCAAAACCGTTGTCAATGGCGCAGATGTATTCAGTCTCTGTAATCTTTCATATTCCTTTCTACCATTACCCATTCTGTTTCACTCTTATACTTGTCAGACTGTATTGGTTCTCTTCACTCATCTTCTTGTCTACCTCTGTGTGCTATTTGGAAGGTGGCAACTCGAACTGGTGCACTTCGGTGCCAAGTTCTATGTTGAATCCAGACAGAGACAGACAGACATATTGAGTGTAATATTCCACTTTCTATTTTAAATATTTCAGCTGACAAACTAAAGTTTGAGTCATGTTCGAAGTTACGGTAGTTTAATCTTTTAGACTTACTGTGTGAATTACTTTTTTTATCCGTCTCTTTGAACCGATTAGTTTGCACTTAGCAATCACCTCAATTTTGTAATCCGCTCCAAACTATTGTCTGAAAGAGTTAAGCCTTTGAATCTACTCAGGATATTTGTATAAAAGGGCAATAAGATATGTCAGGCTCAACTGTTAGGTAATAAAGCACATCTCATATATGTACACTAGTGTTAACATTTTGATGTTGATACGGTAATAGTCTGTTTTGAGTTCTAGTGGGTTATCTACTGTCATGAATAAGAGAGTAACTGAATCGTGTTATTTATTTATTTAAATGCAGAAAAAACTTGGTACAATATGGCATCAAGAAAGATGCGCCACACAATAATAATAAAACAACATAGATTAAAAGTAAAAATATAAGTAGAGAACGGATAAAGAACTTCATCTGGAAAGAAAACAGTCATGCTTAACAAGTTCAAACAGTATTCGTTAACTATCATCGGGAAGGGAAGAAAGAAGGAAATCGCAACACGTTCGCCATTGATTACGATTCTTGGCCATATCCGATAAATTTTCGAGCTATCTCGTGGACCCCAACCAGGGAGTCGTGACGCACCAACCGATGCTAATCTAGCACAAACATCCTTCATTCCACGACTCCACGTCATGGATTGACCACCTTTCTGCCTTTTTCATCCCGTCCCAGGGATAGCGAACAGAGACCTGTACGGAAGCCTCTGGGGTGACATTCGAAGCACATGTCCAAGCCACCGGAGCCGGTGTTTCCAGATGACGACATTCAATGAATGGTGATCTCCACTGTGTTCAAACACGCCGCCGAACCTCAGAATTACTCACGCGATGATGCCATCGAACGCAAGCAATCCTGCGGAGACAACGGTGATCGAACACGCAGAGTCGCCGCACATCCTCAGCTCGGAGAAGCCAGGTTTCACAGACGTAGAGGAAGACAGCCCGCACCGAAGCATTGTATACCCGACATTTGACAGCCAGGCTAACGTCGCGATGGCGCCAGAGGTGGCTCAAGTTGATGTATGCCACTACCTTTCACTATACGGTAATCTCATCCGTCGCCCCTCCGCCAGCACTCACAACTACCCAGATACACAAACTTATCAATATCTTCAAGCGGTTCACCCGCAAGAGTGAGTGCAGGTACAGGCTCCTGCCAATCTTGTAACAGTACTTTGCACTTAGACAGTGCAAGGCACATACCATACAGACACTGATCGCCAACTGATTAAGTGCGATTTGGGAAGTCTGCATGATATCGCACAGTAAGACGATATCGTCTGCATACTCGAGGTTGAAAAGTCTATCTCCAGGTAGCAGATCTACACCACCTTCACGCACATCCTTCAGAGCTAACTCCAGAATGTCATCGATGGCAAAGTTGAAGAGAAATGGGGAGACTGAGCAACCCTGTCTAACCCCACTGTTGGTTGGGAACAGTGATGATAGTTGGTTGTATGCCCTCACTCTACCTGAGGTGTTTCTGTATAGGGCTTTCAAGATGCTAACAAATTTGTCAGGTACACCTCTCTCTAACAGACAGTTCCAGAGCACAGTTCTGTCCAACGAATCGAATGCAGCCCTAACATCAAGAAACACAACGATCGTTGGTCTGCAATACGTGTAGCGGTGTTCCAACAACTGACGAAGGGTGAACACATGATCAGTGCATTCACGACCTGAACGAAACCCAGCCTGCTCTTCGCGAATCGATCCCTCACGTATTATGCACAGCCTGAGAAGACAGCAGCCAATATTTTAGACGCAACTGGTAGCGGACTGATACCCGTATGATTGTCACAAGAATTACGTCGACCCTTTTTAAAGATGGGGACGATAATGGCTTCGTTCCACAATGATGGCTCACTCTCAGTCTCCCATACCTTCTTGAACAACCCAGTTAGAGCCATTGTGAGAGTCTCGCCACCATCTTTAAAAGAAGCCGGGGGTTGATTGTCTGGGCCGCGCGCCTTATGGCGTTTTAACACTTGGAGTTCTTTACGGACCTCCGCTTCGGTGGGTGGATCGGTAGTCACTCTAAGTAAAGAAAGCCCTGTCTCATATATATAAGCTTCATTCATTGATCTTTTTTGTCCTCTCTACCTGCAAATTGGTTTATTTATATCCATTAATTTTGTTTTTAAAAATTTGTTCTCTAGATTTACTTGCAGTTGTATGCTCAACCATTAGGAAGTAATGATGAATCCCCACATGGAGAAAATGGTTAGTTGTACTGTTTCTGTTTAACTGTCTTAATATTTTAACAAATATCCATCCATAATGCTTATGATTGACTCAGTGTTCAACTTTAGAACTTTGAACAGAAGTGCAGCAGTTCATGTTACCGCACTCCATATGGCACCCAGACAGAGAAAATTCAAAGGAATTGCAATAAATGAAAATATACGAAAAGGAGAGTCAGTATTTGAGGAATAATGAAGGTTTAATGGATCTGGAAGATTACAAAAAGCAGATGCATCTGCATCATTGAGAATGATTTTAAGACGTTACCAACAGTCACTGTTTCTTATTACCTTGAGGTCCCCTAATCCAGCAGTTTTTGCTTCCCAACGTGGCTGAAACCAAGTCAGAGACTGCATGGATTAGTATCAGATTTTAATTTGAATAGTGTCCATTTCCCTTCAGAAGTATTTGTTAACGAGAAAATTCAATTGTTATCAGATGTTATAGTACTGAACAATGAAAAGCTGCTAATAGTATTATCAATTGCAAATTTCTTTTCTGCTCATGATGACATAAATCACCTACTGTGTGCTGGTCATTTTAGTAGTGGTTTTAATGTTAGAGATTCATTGATCACTACGTACCAAGCTGGATTGTAAAACCTTTTGTTCAGCTCCCTTTGACTTGTTTATGTTTGTCCTTCGTCAACTTATTATGTCTTCATACAGAGGATGAGGATTGTTTACACGTATTGTCATTGGAACAAGTCATTGATAATTCCCTTTATTAGTATAAATGTCTCTGTTCTTTTTACACAGTTGTAACTTATTAGTGTTTGGCAGTTACTTGTATTGTATTTCGTATCATAACTGGTTGGTTTACTTTAGTTGGATATAGTTTCTAAACAAATTATCATAATAATGGTAATTACAAAGTATCGAAGCACGTATAAAAAAAAAGAAAACATTACTCTTGTGATGGAGATTTAAAACGGTTAAGTTGAGGGGAGATTCTTAAATGTGGTTTAGGGCTTAAGTGTATGAACTCTATATCATGATAGGCCAACACCTTACACTAAAGATATTAGCTACCTTGTTTCACGTTTAATTAAAAAAATTCATCTGTCAATAGATTATCCATTGGAGACCAGCTATTGATCGAAATTGGGTTATTCCCAATTTATTCCTACTTTAAGCTCTCCAATTTGCCAAGATAACTATATATATTTACCGAAGTTTTTATCGATTGTTCCAGAGAAATGAGTTAATAGAGGTTCACAAACATGCGTAGTATTTTAACTTTACTTCTTAAACATGTATGGGCAATCACTCTTTTCATTTGGCGATTATTCTAATTATGAACAGTACTTCACGGTTACCTACCTTTACAAGCTACTTCTCACAACACTGAAATAATGTATACATTCTGCTTGATGGGTCTTAGATAATCTCAAATCAAATTGATGGTATATTCAGATTGTCACTTTATTTCTCAATTTATTTTTTTGTCTGCAATTGGTTGCTAGTTGAGTATCAATAGTTATTATGTCGTTAAAAATTTCAATATATGCTGAATTTATTTGTGATTTACCTCGAAATGAGTCTACTAAGTGAAATTTACCGCTGACACTTGTAACCAGTTTAGTATTGTCATTTCAATACAGGTCTCTCATCGTGATGTAAGGTCTTGAAATACCAGGGTTTATTTTGATTATGTTTTAGTGTTGAGATGCATCAAATACAATATCTATGAGTTCTCATAACGTTCGAATAAAAAAACGTTACCTGAATTTTTATCCCTGATAGATGAATTATAACTAGTGAGATCATGTGGCAGTCCATAGAGGAACCACATCCTAATTTATCTTTTCATGCTGATAATTACGTATCTTTGTAAAGTGTGGTTATGGTTTTTCAAATCTCCCATACTTCTAGTGTTAACGTAATCTATTCACCATAATCACAGAAACATCCTTTCGAAGAATGAAAATTAGTCTTAATAGGATTTGTGCTTTTTTAGAATATCCAGAAAAATGATATCTCTCAGATGACCAATAAGTTTGGTGTTTGCTTTCTTGTAAGGGAAATTACAATCGCTTTTAGTTGGTGGTAGTCAATAGTGAGGCTTGAAAGCTGGTTTATTATTGTGAAAATGAATAGTCTACTTCAATTTGACTTACGATTACCTATGTATGTTTCGCACTTTTTAAATAGATGGTATGACATCATCTGAGGCTAAAAAATTACGCAATAAACAACGTAAAGCTGCTAAACGTGCCGAAGCAGAAGCTGCTCGTGCTCGAGCTGAACAAGAGCGTCGGGAGCAGGCGGCTCGATCAAGACAACCTGCATCTGAAGAAGCGAATCCAGAGAATCAATCAGCAATAGAAAACGATTTAGATGCAAATCTTCTAGCCAGGGTAAGTGCTTACCTTCTATGTTAAACTGAATGTATCTAATTGGCGCAGGTAATTTTCACTTTCACCATGTGGTTGATAATCTTGTGAAAAAAAATATTTTTTGATTAATGATATTTTTCTAGTTGCTGTAATTTCAAACTTGGTAAATGTTAGAATTCATGAATTTTATAACAAAAAGAGAATTCATATCATAACAAATTCAAATAAGTACACGAAATAGAAACTGTGAATTATATTGAAGCTAAGTGCTAATGTCTCATAAGAAGGAGTACGGATATATCATTACTTTTGTACATGGATTCAACCGTGAATTTAACTATTAAATTCTACGCCTAAAGTTGGGGAGAAATTGTAGCTGCAACTTTTATTATTCGCTTTTAGTGTGGTAACAGGATGGTCACATCTGTCTGTTTGGTTGGTGGTATAACAGAACATTCAGTCTTAGGACATCAGTTAATTATCATCTGTGCATCAGGTAACTAGCTTTGTTGGAATTAAGAGTCATAATCCTCAGTAAAACGGAATTACTTAATCAATTCATTTAAACTACCAAGTATTCATAAGGAATGACTAAAATAAAATAGGATTTCATCATAAGCTGACACTAGTTAGAGAACCATTGGAAAAACCTGGGAGTATTGGACAGTTGTTTCGTCCTAGTTTGGGGCTCTTCGGCGGTACGCACCCGCCGGGATTCTAACCTAGAACCTTCTGGTTACAAAGCGAGCTCGTATACCATTAAGTCACTGGGACTTTATCCAGTGGCCTATGAATTCTAACTTCTGCCACTTCACAACATAGCGCGACCCCCAGCCAATGTCTTCGGCGAGTATTTGTCCTCACACTCGACCTGCTGCACCCTACTGGTCACGACTTCTCACTAGAACCCCAGGTAACTACCTACCTGAATAGGGCAAGTCTCTAGTGGGCATCTCATTGATATTCAAGTGTTGGTTTGTAGGGATTTGTTTGGTTACAGGATTTCATCGTGAGTTGCCGATGTTTTTGGTAAAGTTATGTGCCCAGAAGAATGTCTTTTAGTTTTTCTCTTGCTGTCACTTGGTAATCCTTAGTTTCTTTTACCGCTGTAAATAAATTCTTAAATGTGTAATTTTCGAAGACGACAGACTGATTTCACTCTTGAAATAACATGTAATGCAAATGCGACTCACTTTGATAGATCGATATTTCCTCCATCCCAACATGTTACAATCCATAGCTCTCTCGTTTATTTTCAAGAAGTTAAAGATATTGCTTTGTTTTTTTTTAAATTGAAATAACAGCCTGAGGATCCTTTGGAAGAGGCCTGCAAGTTTCTTCTTCCGTTATTGGAATTGTCACCTAAAATCATTGAAGCTTATTGTTTAGCTTTTGAAGTTTACGAAAGAAAGCGTAAGTCGCTTCGATAAAACTTTTATTGTGTGTTGTATATTGATTTTTCATGAGGATCTATTCTTTTTCAAAGCCAGCCCCTCAACCACTAAGCTGTAAATATCGTGACAAGAAGATGGCATACTTTTATAAAATTTAGTCTTAAGAAGTAGGTCAGCGGAGAGCCTTTTAACCCTAGTTTTGCACTAATATACGGCCATCGGTATGCATCTTCATTTCGAAATAATTCGTCTTCTGTCTGGGATTTTAAACGGCTTTATTACTGAGTTATGTAGATTAAGTAGATCTTCATCAACACATGGGACTAAACAACAATATTTGTTATCTTTTGTTAATCAGTTAACTAAGATTTCGAAATATTTTTTGATGTGAAAACACAATTGTTCACCAAAACGTAATAAGCACATTATAGTCATGTTAATGTATTTCTTATGACTGTTACGCTAACAGTAAGTCAACTGAAAAACTGTTACACCAAGTATTATAAAACAGAGCAGTTATTGATATATGTGAAACACGGTCAAATTTCGCTCTTATAATAATTTATGCATGTATGCCTGGGGTAAGCGTGTTTCTTAAATAGTTTAAATGGCTTATATGCATTTGGTTGTTACGAAATATCTCAAATGTGTCAAATTCACTGTGTTAATTCCTCCATAGTTCAAACAGTTGGCTTCTAGTCCTGTGCATAATTCTTTTCTGATGTTATTTATAAGGACGAGAATGTTGCTTCCTTCATTTTAGTACTTCCCAGCTTCATTTGAAGTAATACAATGCCTTTGCAAATTAAGCATTGAAATCCACTGAGTATTCAGAAAATAAATATGTGAATGATAAAATATACCCATATATTCATGTATGAGGAAAAATATAGTGTTGTTTAGTGAATGTATTTTTTTTCAATGACTTCATCCTTAGGCTGTAAATTCTCACTTACATTATGGATAACAGCATTAAGTGGTATTTTAAAAATTGCCGGGCTAATACTATGAGAAGAATAAAAATGGTTAACGTGATTTTCAAGGGAATAGTATTTAATCGGATAATTTACAAAATTATAAAAGATTGTTAAATAAATGTAAGAATAAAACTTATGCACTGTGGTGGAGTATAATTCCATTATGGGTAAAATTTATTTTGATAAAGTCTCAAAATGTTATGCAGTAATATTTACTGATGACTTTTCGAGAACAGTTCATTGCTCGCAATCATATCAAGGTATTCAAATGAACTGTCTTCAAGATTTGACGTAATAGTTCTGAAATATTTGGGCGCCGAGTAATAAGTAGACATTTGTAAAAAATTATATTTGTAAAATCTCGAATTAAATTATCAAAAAAAAACTATGTAATTGGCACAATCATCGTGTTCCCACTCTCCGTTGTCTGCAACAGAATGCATATCCTAAATCCGTAGCTATCCAGTCACATGATAACTACAGTAGGTCGAATAAAGCAGCTCAATCTTCAGAGAGAAGACAAAGTAATAAGTTTGACGGGGTTGTTCAACTAAACTCTAATCCTAAACACCATAATTTCGAAAATACGTCTAATCATAAAATTCTAGATACTAGCAGTCTGAACAGACATGAAGGTGTGATGTTAGATGACGCATAGGAAATCCTGATTAATTAATAAATAAGAATGGGTATGTATCACTAACTAATAATACTTGGTCAAAGTTCCCGACTGTCTATATCTTCTTATGGAGACGTTGAAAAATGTTTTACAACTGTTTACCCCCACACACATACACACTGTGTTTAAAGTGTTTAACAAAGGTGGACCAATATTTGTAACTCCGAGGTCAAAAAAATTTTGATCATAGCTCATACAATTTTGTTTATTATACTTGTTAATACTTGTTTTATGACTGATGATTGGACAAAGATTTTTAAAAACAAGAGATGTTCCTTTTATATACAAACCTCTGTTATGTGAATTTGGATTAATTTCCCTGAACAAGTTCGGACCAGATTACTGAACGAAGCGTTGGAATTACTCATTTCAATATCGCTGAGATTTTACAAATATAATTTTTTACAAATGTCATATCAAGGTATACATGTAATAAGAACTTTAAAAGCAAGTTACGTCAAAAATTAAAATTGCGGTGGTGACAGCGATAAAAATGCCAAAGATAAAGTGGAATGGATTGAAATGAACCAATAAAGAGCATTACTCTGAACACAGTACAAAAATAGGTTCATGTGTAACCAGTGCCTCGGCTATACACAAGTAGAGAAAAGAAGTTTTTGAGTGACTGAATTTAGCCTTATCGATAACCTTAAAGAACAAGTCATGGGTTGAGTAACCTGACCTAAGGAGTTTATATATATATATATATATGACTGTCATCCAATGTCCTTTCATCAACCAAACTTAATCATGTTCAGCTTCACATCTCCGGAGAATTAGGATCATGTAGAAGAATCGATGCATATAGTATATTGCATGAGCTGTCGTTTGTTTTTCACACTCTGTCGAATGATACTGTCGTACAAGAATACCAGGTATAAGTCAGAGGCACAGAATATGTGTTGGGTACGCTTAGAAAGACTGAGTCTAATAATAATTTCAGCTAAATTCATCATTAGTGTCTTGTTAAGGAGCGGTTTGCTTCCGTATTACTTTCAAAAGACCATCTAGGATATCCATTATTTAAGAGCTTCCTAAGAAAATCTTCAAGTTCTTCAGCTATATCTTAAGAGCAGATTAGCAGAACTTTAGAACATGATGAATGAATAAGGTTTCTCTCTCAATTTAGATGTAGTCAACTGTTGAAGTTAGTGTATTATAGAAGTTGTCTTTTTTGTAGGTCGACGTTTTTAATGTGCCATCATCTTTTCTATCAAACATATGAAGTGTGATGCAGAATTGTTCTCTTCGTCTATCGTGAAAGTGCAACTAAATGACAAGGGTTAAATTGTATAAGAAGGTCAACAGTTGTGCAGTTTTTGTCACAAACAGTAAATGTGTCATCTATGCGTCCTTTTTTACAGTCGTTGACTTATTTCTTCCAGTTGACTACATGTTCGTCTTGAAATTGAAGTCATTGCAAAAGAAGTAATTACCTGGACAAAAATATGTTTCAGAACAAAAATAGTTAGAGCGAACAATTGTTCTCAATAAATTCTTCAGGCTCTACAATTATAAATGCATTAATTTAAGCATACAATAGCCAATAAAGACCAATTAGAATAATATCAGTTTAAGATAGAATGGAATTATATATATATATATATATATATATATATATATATATATATATATATATATATATATATATATATATATATATATATATATATATATATATATATATATATATATATATATATATATATATATATAATTTTATGTTCTCATTAACCATGCGCACTCAAAACTGACTAACTATTGTTCTATTCTATCTTAAACTGATGTGATTCTAATTGATCTTTATTGGCTATTGTATGCTTAAATTAATGGATTTATAATTGTAGAGCCTGAAGAAGAATTTATTGAGAACAATTATTCGCACTTACTATTTTTGTTATGAATAAATTATGCGAATATCCAAGTCACTGAAAGATATGTTTTTCAAGTGTCGGTTTGCAGAACCCCTTGCCAACTAGTGAGCAATGGACAGCTGTTTCGTCCTGGCTTGAAGTTCTTCATCAGTACGCATTCATCGGGGTTCAAACTCAGGACCTTCCAGTTCAATAATTTCTGGCATAGTGTACAGCTAGCCAAAATAGTTCTCCCAGAAAACATGCTATGAGTAATTGCCTAATGCAATTCTCCGTGTTGTCTGACTTTCTTAGATTAGATTTTCATATTCTTGAATAGCTTCATTCTGATGAGTAATCACTTTCTTTAGATGATACAATTGTTGTAATTTGTCTTCGTGTAATTGATGGATGTAACTGATGCTTTAGTGTTATGACTTGATTGGCTACAGTGTTATAGTGAAATTCGTTTATTGTTTAATACTGCGTCTCATCGGAAATTTTGTTGAACATCTTTTGAAGCCTGGACGCAGTTCGTCTTGCGTAATTTGTAGTTCAGAGTTCATAAAACCACTTCATTTGTCCAACATGAAATAGTATCATAAATTACAGATGTCAAATCTTATAAATTGCTGGACAAAAGTTGATTTCATATATGCTGAGCAATTTAATTGGTTGGTTTAATTTAATTGTTTTTATTGATCTTTTCATTTTTCGTAGGAAAATTTTTGTTCATGCTAAAGTGGATCTCTCGAGGTCTTCAATTGAATAACTCTCGTGATAACCCATGGTTTCATGAGTGCTGTGTAAGATTTCTATTGCAGTTACTTAATCGGAGCAAATCAGATGATGTAGTTGGTAGAGTACTGTCAACTGAAGTACCTAAATTATTCAATGACTGGCCAGATGATATTTCATTTATTAAGAATTATAATGAAAAGTTTTATGAGCGTAATCTTAATCAGTACTCCCATGTATTTAGATGTAAGTTTTTTTTTATATTCTGTGATATTGTCTAGTTCATGCATACTCCTTTTTTGTTGTTAAGGTATTTGAGTATATCTATGACAAAACTTCATGTCTTGTTACATGTTTTGTAACTTCCAATCTGCTCCTACTCCACAGTGTTCATTCTGTGGAAGTGGACTGTGACAGACTTCCTCTGAAAATGTATCAGTATAATGATAATATTAGCACTTATTTAAATATCTAATCTGAAAATCACTAAATCAGTATTAGGTTGATTTCATTATGGATATGTCTAACTCTGTGGTGTTATTTCCTCAACTCGGCCTTGAATTGAACTTTAAAGACCAAAATTATGTGAATACTAAGAATCTTAGTCGTTGATCAGGAGGTATCTTATACGAATTGTTTTTATATTTTGCTCTTTCTTTGTATGCGAATGACAAAACCAAACACAAGTATTTCATACCATTTGAACAAAAAACACCCATTAATTTTGTGTTTAAAATCAACCAGACAAAATTGATTAGAGACATCAGACAAGCAGGACACACATTGTAAAATATATTATTCGATCTTGTTTTAGATAACAATAAGAGTTAAAATTTGCTCCCTTGGCTACTATATATTTCGTTGTATTCATGAACCAACTAGACTGGATGAAACTAATGTCTTTTGTTATCAACAAATGCCATATTTTGGTGTGGTTGTGAAGTGAGCTCACTTCAAACTGAAGTATGCGCTGAAGATGTCACCCAGTAGGGCGATGAAAGCTTCGCAAATTAACCATCCAGCTCAGAGAACACAACCACATCAAAATCATCCACCTGAGCTACAAATTTTCTCTATCATACACAAATGCCATATCTTATTCAGTCGTAAACAGTGAAGTAAACCTTTATCTTATATAATTATCAGCCGTTGGTTGTACAGTAATAGCAACAAAGTTGCTATTCAACAGTCGCGCCTGGTGGTAAGCAAACTCTAAAGAAGTCATCCATCTTGATGATTAAAATGTTCACTGTCCAAATATCAAAGTACAAAGAACATTCAACAATTACAATTTTAGATCTCTTAAGTAGTGAAGAGGCAGAAGTTGAAATCCGTGTGACACACTGGATCAAGCACAGTAACTGATTGGTAGTGTCCACCTGGTAATCTTAAGACTTCAAGTTTAAAACGTGGTCAATTGGTATTGGTACTCTGTGTTTAAGAGTGCCAAATAGATGGAGTATAGCTTATGTCTATTAGATGAATCACATTTCACCAGTAAATTTATTGCAATGGACAGGTAGCAGCACTTCTTATCTATGCATATTTGTAACTTGTAAACAGACGACACTGTAATGTAGGCATTTCATTTCAGTGCATAATAAGGTTTACTGTTGCAATCAATTTATAGTAATCATGTGATAAGGCTTTGAACTATCCAATTATCTGATCGAGTTGATTAGCCTTTTCTGTTAGAAGAGTGTGAATGAGGCTTAAGTGTTTACCTACCAACCTGAATTATATGTTGTTTCTTTTTGAACGTGATGTAAAAATTTAATATTTTGTATTTGGACCTTAAAGCTTTGTTCACAAACCCATTTGTTATGACAATATCATAAAATAAGCGAAATTCGTATGTAACGTCTTCATGTTGTCGCACATACTGGATGTCTTTTTTCTCCCATCTGATTGCGTAATCTTTGTCTTTAACTTCGCCCTCTTTTATATTCTGTAATTTTGCTTGTCTCTTGTGTCTATGATTTGAGTTCAACTCAGTACATTGTTACCTAACTTATTAGTCACTATGCATCCAACGCACATCCCTTACCATTATATACATACATTTATTTATTATTTTTTAACTTGAACTGCCTGTGTAAAAACTATATAAGCGCAATTTTCTGAGCACTGTTTACTAGTTGTGAAACTTTCTGTCAACATGTAAAATTTGCAAGTACGTTAAAACGTTTCTGTACTTAAACCTGAAAATTTATTTAGACTGTAAGCAGCTGACGAGAAGCCAACGAAATAAATGATGGTACCATGTTATTCTGCACAAATCAATGTTGTTCTCGCTTTATTCAAATACACAAAAGAGTGGTGCATATTACGTAGCAAGCGTACTGTGTGTTAGCAATTTGCATTATATAGAGAAGTACATGTCATTCAATAATATTTTTTTGTTTTTCTCTACTGATGATAATTTTTCGCCATCCTTTTACAGATACTATAGTTCAGTGTTTGATTGACCCTCAAAACAGAAACAGTTATCTTGCTTCTATCCCACTGCCGAACGATAAATTTCAAGGTGTAACCTGGCAGGTAAGTGCATATCTAGTGTTCTTTTTCCTTCACGTTCCCCAGTGGAACATAGGGCTTCAAGCTAGTGGCTTGAAGTTTCTGTAGCAGTGTTTATTTTTACGGGATGGGGTTGCTAGCCTCATGCCCAACCTTTCTTCTTTACCAGTATTATATCTGGCTTAGCGAGGTAAAGGAGTGCGTCGACTGGGGATCGAACCCCGGACCATTTGAATGGTGTGCGAGCGTCCTAACCGCTATGTCACCGACTAAACATTATCATGGAGAGGCGCATGCACATAGGAGACAGCCTTCTTCAAACCTTGCATACAACCATTAGGTCGCGTACTATCCCATCGCCCTTGGCAGGTCTGGCAACAAAAGTCACGAGAACACCATCAGAGCATATGACAGGCTAGGTACCCAGTGTTTGTTTACTGAATTTATTTATGTATAGACAGTACCACTATCACTTTAAATGATATAGATTATCCTTCTCATAGATGATTTGTTCTACCTTAAAAAGTTAATTTTAGCTTCATAGAAATGGGATGCCGTATCGATAAGATTTGTTGCGCGGCATTTATAATAACTTTAAACTGGCATTACAACTTTCATAAAGTTCGTTATAGAAATCAACTTGTTTGCGCGTGTAAAGTTCTTATTGACTGCAATGTTTTCATAGTAGTATTCATAATGGTGACGGCAAGTATGCAGAGAAAAATTCATTAGTGCAAGCTACTTCTCTTGAAAAGAGAAACAGGATATAACTAAAGTAAAAAGATACTAGACTACTAGTTCAGAATGCAAGTGGTTGCAATTGTAATAGTATTTTAATAATGTGATATCTCCCGTAGCCAGCTTCTCAACTGTTATTACTTTTCATACAACACGTTCTCTTGATTATCTTTGTCAAAGCAAGAAGGGCAAGATTTGCAGTATGAAAAACCTTTGACAGTGACAACACAGTGATTTAAAAAATTTGTATTTTGTTGCGAGTTAGATTTCTCCTTGATTTTCTTTTGTTTTAATAGGGAAAAGATTGAAATTTGTAAATTCTTCATTTCTTTGTTTTGCACCCATGGTGAAGTGTGGTATAATAAGGTGAGCAATATTGAGGCTGGGCGTCGAGTGCTAAGTAAGGAGGGGAAATCAATTGATGAGGCTGTGAAATTACATCGACTTAGATGGTTAGGATATGTGTTACGTATGCTTAGTCATCGCCTTCCTCGACAGTGGGCCATGTTAGCTGATATGGGGTCAGGCTGAAAAAGACCTAGAGACGGTCAAACCAAAACATGGCACAAGTTAATGAAATCTACAACACTTAGTTTAAGCCACGTAGGAAGGTGTAGACTGGCTTCCTGGTTGGAGTCCTTGGGACGGTAAAAACCAGTGGTTGGGAACAATTGGTGACATGGCTCAAAGTGATCGTTCTCAATGGCTAGTGCAGATGCATCCACTCCTTGTAACTTATGATTTCCAATGAAACTGTTTTGTTCTTCGTCATTACTATTCCTTTGTCTCTCACCTCTGTTTACTGTCTCTATTATGCATTTCTTCTACTTTCTTCTGTTGCTTTGTGTGCTACAAGGAGTGGAGTGTGGCGACTTGAACTGCCGTACATATGTGCAAAGTTCTATGACGAAAACAGACAGACAGACCCATAGTTGTATTATAACATTGAATAATTATGACTGGCTCGTTAAAAGTTGGTTCAACTAACCGTGAAAAGTTTCGGTTAATCTTTACTAGATTTCTACACTGCTTTTTATTTCTCATTCCCTACGCAACTGACTCGACTGAGCCATTTGTATCTTGATTCCAAGCTTCATTACGTGTAGCTGTGCATCATTTTATTTGTGAATACTATTCCCATGCGTCACAAAACAAAACCTTTACACACCTTGTATAACAGAACACGATTATTCTTTCGAACAATCCATTTTGAAAATTAGTAAATTCTCAAACTTTATGCTTTCGTCTACCTGTTGTAAAATACAGGCTTTTAGGCTATCTGATTGTGGTGATTTTGTTTAGAACTGAAATTTCCATATTGAGCAGCTGTCTATTTTATTGATTATTCTTTGCTTCCATACTTCTCTTTTGGTGGCATTTCTGTGTGTTCATGATGTCTAATAGTCTAAACTAAATAAATAAATAAATAAAAACGTGGAGTCGCTGTCATTAACATGATTTCACTTTGAATGTGTTGTCTGATCAACTTGTTGATATGAAAAAATTTCTTACCAAAAACTATTCATTTTTTAACTCTAATAGTCTTCTTGTGTGTAAATCATTCAGTTTTCGTTACTGTTAGGTGTGTGTGTGTTGTGTTTCTCTGTAAATTGTGTAAACTACTCAACCGAACATAAAAGGGAAAATAGGAAGTTGAGTAAATGATGTCTTTGCGGTTATCTTATTCTCAGTAGTTGTATAACAATAGTTCTCTTCTTGAAGGTATCATATGTGCAAGTATTATTTCAAGAGATATAATGACAAAGGTGTAATTTAGTGGTGAAAGCTACTTTTCAGCGTGCTACGTTGATTCGCTAGTATTTGACATGAAATCACAAAGAACACGGAAATATTTAGGCTTAGAAATCTGATTCTGTAATATGTGTAATAATGCGATGTGATCATATTACGCATAGCAGCGGAATAAACTGGTGTGTTGTAGCTGAAGGTGGAAAAAAATAGGAGATAATTGAAAAAGAAAGCTACGTTCAGTGTTAATACAATCGTTGAACAAGCTTCTTTTGTCTACAGAATTCGGCTTCTTCATCTGTAAAGCGAGAGCTTTGTCAATTCGAATGAGTCATAAGACAGCATGCAACTAAATTTTGAAGTGTTTATAATTGTGGCTTTTGTGACTACTCTTCACCTCATTATACAGACTAATTTTTCGTGTCACCTTTGTCACTATGTTCATTTCAATAATACTTGCAACTGTGCTACCTTATAGTACAAGAATCACCACTATGCAACTGTGTTGAGTTTGGGATAGCTGGGAGGTAACTGCGTATTATCTCATTTGATTTTTACACCCTTTTCATTTTACGTGTTTTGCAATAGTGTTTTCCTTTTTTTCAAATATTTATCTCATAGGCATGCAGTAGTTGCTTGGATATTCTACGAAGAGGTCAATGGACGTCTTTAGGTCGCTGTGATCCTTCTGTCATTGAAAAATATCGCGTCGCTTGTGCAGAGTATTTCCCTATGGCAAATGCATTCCTGACAACTGCCCAAATCGAAGCATTACGTGAACAAATGATTGAGGCAGCTAATTTATCCGCTATATGTGGTGTGTTCACACTATCAAGTGATAAGGATCAGCAATTCGATGTTAGTGAGGAACCGGAGAATAAAGTATCAAATAAATTGTCTACATTGACTATTGATTCAAAACACATGGTTAATGGGGATCTGAAGGACTCGGCCAAATGTATTCCAAATTCTTGTAAAGAAGTTCCACTTACAAATAAAACAGCTGATGTTGTTGTTTAACTTTTACTAGGTATACTTTATTAAATTCCCATTCTCCAATATCTGAAATTATATATATATATATGCAGAAGTTTGTGAGCACCGACCTGATTGTATTTCCCATTGCGCTGTAGTCTGTTTGCGTGCACAACACTGTAGAATAATAATCAGTCTGAAAAGTTTACTTTCTTATTATTAACTAATCTGCATGATACACTTTATCCCAATATTTTGGTTGATTACAGTTACTAGTAGTTACTCTTTCACGTGTGCATAAATACTATCAATTGAAGGGATTCTTTTTATATATTTTACAAAAATTTGTGTAAAACAACAAACACTCAACCTCTTGTATATGCACAGATTGTATGCCTCCAATTTTTTTTCAAAAGAACTTGTTGATAATTGTGATCATTGATGTGGTTGTTTATTTCACAATACAATCCTTAGCTATTTTGGATGCCTTTTTCTTTAAATGTCTCTGCTGCAAGTGATTGGTAAGCCCTACACATGTATTTATAATGCGACTTCAGACTTGTGTTCTTAATTCGCTTGCCTTTATGAGATAAACTGTTATTTCTCATACCACACTTTGTTAAATTATAATTGGCACTTCCATGCTTTTGCGTTTCGCCTCTGCTTGCATAGTATAGTACCGTGTCTTTAATCCATTGGAAGTTTAATGTGTATTGGTAATGCATCTTTTACATTTTGTAGTTATTGTTTTGATTAACTCAAAATAATATTCTACGAATGTAAGAAATATCATCTGGCTTTAGACTGATTAACAAAGTTACCTTTCTTTGAACTGTCCAGTATCGCGACTGCGATTTCCTGCTCAAACCATCATCAGTTACCCTTCGCTCGATACTGGTCATGAAGGATAAGCAACAAAGAACTCTTCCAGTCAGCAGATCAGTTAGAAGCCTGTCACTGAACATATGCGCGTAAGAAAATGGAGGTGTTTAAGGCATTTATTGAGTGACGTCGCAAGCCAAGCAGGCCTTTGAGTTGGATCCGTATAGAAAGCTGTGATTTGGGCGTGCGAAGGTCATATGGAAGAGATCGTAAGCGACGGATATGACAGGTTGTGAGCAGTTGTGTTCAGCCAACTTAAAAAGACGCCAGAGAACAAATTATAATGGCCGTGTGCTGCCTAGACCCTACGCTCTACTTAGAATATCTACCGATATGCGGAAACAGTAGATACGTCCATGGCGGCTGAATACTGCTCAAGTGCCTAGCTTGTATGGAACTGCAGTTATCAGACGTAGCTATCTCCTGTCATGTCAGTTCATAGCAAAAAATGCCTAAACATATAGTTTCCAATCCTCTTATAAGATTTTGCAGATAGTATGCTGTTTCAGCTCATTAATATAGCTAAATACTGCTTCTAACTTCGCAAACTGAAACAGCGATATGACTCCCGGTAGGTGGATGTTCTCTATCGTGCTCTAGAATTATTGGTCAGCAGTTATTCCTTTTATGAAGATACCGAAAAGTGATGGAGTTCCTCCTACTAGAAAACTAGCGAAGCTGGGGATGACTCTTTTAACGTGATATTTCTAAATGACATCATTTTTCTAATCCCACGATTGTTCAACTTCTCAGTAGCAAATATCTTTGTATCATTTAACTGCGGGGACAGAGACCTGAATTTGACGCACTTAGGTCTATCTAATACTTAAGATTTTGACACACCTCGGTGCAAACTACTTGTTGAACAATTAAACAATGCTGTAGCATGCCAGGACTTGGGTAGCCTGACAGTGTGTATACGTCAATGGTTATAGTTTGTTAATCATGCTCTTGAATGTGTAGTTTTAGAAAAGCACTAAAATTGCATTTGTTGTAACCAACTTAAGTTGTGTGACAATAGATCCATGGATCTTTTTGAGAACATAGTACTCAGATGACATTAACCTCCTGGATAGAGACACTAATAAGTGATTAATCTACAGAGTCCCTTCAAGCACAAATTTTGACATATTCGGTATGCTGTTAGTCCCTTTCACATGTAAGATGATACTGCATGACTGGTCTGCATCGGCTCATAATTTAAATATGTCGGTCTAAATAATATTATGTGATGACCACTTCGCTCACTCGGGAAGTTGCATCAGCCCCCATGGATTCATTACTGACGAAATTTCAGCATCAATACATAAGTTTCGCTTGGCTTTGTCAACAAATGTCATCTCAGGCCTGAGTGTAATATCTGGTTAGCAATAACTGGCATCTGTACTGCGTGGGAGTTCAGTCTATCCCACTTGAAGGGTAAGATATCACCATGCAAGATGGGAGATATAATTAGGCTGGTTGTCTTTGACCACAGATGCTTACGTTCTACATCCACTGCTAAGTCCTTATTATAGTAATATTGAGGTTAGGCGTCGAGTGTTAGAAAAGGGAAGGAGGTCAGTCTATAAGGTCATTAAGACGAATCAATTTAGTTGGCTAGGACAGGTGTTGCACATGCAAAGCCACAGTTTCACTCGACAGGTGATATTAGCCTGCATAGGATCAGGTTAGAAGAATTAGGGGGTGGTCATATAAAATAATTCTAGCAGTTGACGATGACTCTGACTGTTATTTTGTGTCACCAAAGTAAATGTAGGCTGCTTTGCTAGAGTCGTCGAGTCTCTGAGAACCAATATCAATTGTTATTATTAGTTTGCAATGAGTACAATTCACTTCTGGTGTTACTTACGACAGAATTTCGCCAATACATCACTTATTTAAAATTAACACCCCATTTGGATGTAAATCAAGAATAAGATTCGATGTCGTACACACCAAAGTTATATGAGGGAAATGACTTCAAGCTTTATTATTTTCCCAATTATTTATTGTCAATGTAGTTGAAGATTGAACGATCAATTCATGGTTGTTTGCTCAAATCCAACTCTATATTTTGGTGGGCGTCATCGTCTCGTCATTCGCTATTCGTTGGAGGACAGAGAAAAACTATCAGAAGCAATATTGTGATTTATTGTTATGACATTTATTCTTAGACTTTGTGTACAATAACCTTATGGTTGGTTCTGTATTGGTGCAAGAATAAACGGTTCTTGAGTCAGCAATTTGTGTTCTGGTTTTTTTTTTGCGTTGGTTATTGAGCATAGTTTCTGAAAGTCTTCGAGGGACAGTGTGAAGTCCGGCGTAGTTAGACCTGGACACTGACAGTTTCTGATAATTCTCCTGGAATTATTCGTCTTATTTGTTGTCAATTCGTCTTTCCTCGCGTCTGCAAGTCTTCTTTGGACAACTGTTATCTGGAACTTTTCTGGATTGTTCAGTCAAGTTCAATAATGCCCGGGTCAAAGAAAGGACAAAGCGTTTTGGAGGCAGACAGGAAAGTAAGTAATGATGAGTTGCCTGTTATATATAATGATGTGGGTGATGCTATGCATGAAAAGATTGATGTCCATGTTTCGCCGTCTAGGGATAATAGAAAATTTGAAATTTCTAAATTTGAGCCTCGGTGCTTCCACGGAAACCCAGCTGACTATCCGCAGTTTGTAAAGGAGTTTGACGTCATGATGAGTGGGCTTCCAATAAATGACGAAATGAAGTTAATGTATTTGTTGAGGTACTGCACTGGTGTTGTTGCAAGAGCCATACAGTGCTGCAAGTTTATATCCTCGAACGAAGGATATACAGAGGCTATGAGGATACTACGTCAATGGTTTGGAAAACCATTCATGATATCCCGTAACGCTTTTGAGACCGTGAAGGGTAATGGACCACAGTTAACCGATAATTCAGAGGAACTCACAGAGTTCTTGTATAATTTAATGGTACATAGAAATACTCTTTTGTCTCTTAGTTGAGTAGATGAATTGAATTCAAGTTCCGTGCTTGAGACTGTGGCCAAAAGATTACCGGTTCCTCTAAAGAGGAAGTTCATAAAGGTTAGTTCCCGGCTAGAGGAAGATGGTTTGGAGCCTGGATTCCATGATATTATAAGGCTAGTGAAAGACGATGTCAACCAAGCGACAGGAAATTCGCAAGCATTTTCCATTTTAATGCAGAACCTAAGGAACCGGTGAATATAAAGAAAGCATTTATAGTGAAGGCTCAAGGAACAAAGAGAAAGGATGAGTGCATTGTTTGCCGTAACACGCATCAATTTAGTGACTGAAATCGCTCCATTGCTATCTCTCCAATCCTAAATGTCCAGGTCTTACTTCACCGGACACCATGATGTCCCGGGAAGACATTCAGAAACAATTTGTAATAACCAACTCGAAAAACCAGAACACAGATTGGCGACTCGAGGATCCTTTATTCTCACGCCAATATGTAACCAACAATAAGGTTATTATACACAAGGTCTAAGAATAAATGTTATAACAGTGAATCACGATAATACTTCTGATAGTTTTTCTCTGTATTCCACCGAACAGCGAACGATGAGACGATGACTGCTGGATTGATGACACCCTCGAAAAATATGGAGGAGTTGGGTTTGGGCAAACAACCATGAATTGATCGTTCAATCTTCAACTACGTTGACACCGGTAGAAAGGTTAAAAATGGCAGAACTGAAGCGGTTGCGTAAGGATATATGCTACAAATTGTTATATTTTCCTCGCCTCAGTTCTTCTCGTTTTTCGTTGGCTGGAACAGTGGTGGTCAATTGGATAATTGATTTGTCCTCAGTAGGTGCTATCGTGTGCTGTTTTGTGTGCTTGTGTTATGTGTCGTTTGCAAGCAACTTTGACGAATAAAGATGTAACATTTGACTATTCCAACATTGTCTCACTGCTTTTCATACAGAGACTGTGCTCTTTTTGTTATAAACTCTTTTGAAACTGGTCAGGCATTATGCTGGCTATCAGTGACTATCATATCGGGGGTATCAACGCATTTCTTGAGTTGTGGTTACACGTGCAGTATTTCCTACTTCGATATTTCTCACGTGCATAGTCTGGTAGCTTTGACAAGCTGTGGCAATAATGTGCTTCATCAACGAGTCCTTTTTCTAGAATTTCATCGCAGGTAATCAGTGCGAGCGG